GCCAAGACCGACATCGAACCAGGTGATCGGAGCTCCGCCCAACTCCAGCGAAGCTTGTCGTAGAACGAGGCGGTATAACCGCCGTTGGTCTTTATGTTAGCTGGGAGGGCGATTGAATTTTGTAGATCCAGAAAATAGTATTTATTTAGGGTTAGGTTAGGTTAAGACACTTTCTGGGCCCAGCGCTTCAGCTAGCCCAGCAAGAAAACCTACTCCACTTTTATCTTGTCCTCCTCAAGCGGAGGACTCCTTTTTTCCTCCGAAAATGGAGAATCCTCCTCATTTCCACCTCTAGTGGAGTCAACCAAAAACAGAATTCCGGAGGAATTCCTCTTGAGGAGAGAGAGCTCCGCAGTTGCTTCTCAAGTGGAGTACTCCTTTCTTCCACCCAAAACGGGTGGTTCTCCTCATTTCCTCCTCTTGTGGAGAATCCTCCTCATTCCCTCTGTTTTAGGAGAGTTCTCCAAAAGAAGAGCTCCGTCGGAATTCCTTTTAAGGAAAGCTTATCAAGTGACATGGTTGTGGGACAGGACCAGCAGGGTTATGACTGCCAGTTTCAGAAAGTCCAGTGATAAGACAACATGTATTTTCATACATGAGTTATATAAAAATGATGATAAAAATGAGGGCCTGCTGAAAAGTACACTCATTTGTCAAATCTTAGTCAGTTTAAATCAATTCTTCAAGGTGCAAGCATGCTACACAGTTTGTTCAGAAAGTTTCTACATAATGAGATCTGCCTGACCTGTAACAATTGCGAAATTTATTAAGTCATGGGATGCTCTTTATGGATATAATAATCTTAAAGAACTTTCCATGATTTAGCTGATTAGCCTTAATCATCAATCTTCAACTTCAACCTTGGAAACAGTCAACAACCTAATTTAAAATTTGGTGATAGTGATGGACCAAACCTCTGTAGAGTAAAAAAGTAGATGTTAGTTCCACATGTATTGAAAATATATTTCGGTCTGGGTTGACCCTTGTCCCCAACAAACAAAAACCCGTGAAGTACACAATTTGGTGTATTTCACACGAGTGACCGGTCATTATCCCATGATAATTCACGTGTTGTCGAGGTGATTGTTAATGATTTGATCACGGGTCTAAGACTGAGTTTTTACATTGTGAAAACCTGAGTTTATTTCACGAGATGAACACGGGATTTTTACATGGGAAAATTATTATTCTCTCATCTAATTAAATTTCATTTTTAAAAACCCCGGGAAAGTGAGGGGATACATAATTGATTTCTGATATATAAATGTATTATAAAATATATTGTGTAAAAGAATAATATTATTACAAAATGTTTAGAAACTAAACATTTAATGTTAACCTGTTAATGTGTTCATAATTATAAGAATTCTCCTTCCTGTATATATCTGAAATATCGATATTCCAAAAAGGGGTTGTTGAGAAATACAATACAAAATTCAATGTGAAACTTTTCTATACTCTGCTCATGCTTGTTATAATCGGAAAAATTTATGTCAGTTGAAATATTTCATTTTACTACAATAAACTTTTAGTTTCTAAAAGATGAGCAGAGACACCAAGTGTTGTGATTTTGCAACTCTGTTAAAAATGAAAGATNTAAGGAGGGGTATTTAAACCTTGACATAAAAAACTCTTTTTTTAAAAACATACTGAAATACAGTTAACAATTAAATAAAAACTATTTTTTTCTGTTCATTCCTCTGAGTTCAGTCATAAAATCTCTGATGTATTTAGATTCTCGTACTTCAAGTAAACTTCTTCCGTGGTCCCAAACCTTCTCTAGAACTCTAACTTTTTGATGGTAGTGTTCATGTCCAGGAAGGTTAAAATGTTCTCCTGTAGGCTGGTTTGTATGGAGATTTCTAATGTAACCAATATGTTCTCTCACTCTTTCATGTAAAGATCTTGTTGTCTGTCCTATATATTGTAGTTTACACTGTTCACATGTAATACAGTAAACTACATTTCTGGTCTACAGTTGAAAGTTCCATTTTGTCATCTTGCTATAAATTCTTTTTAGCTTTGTTATTCCAACATTATTATATGGTTACAGTTCTTGCTTCTGTTAATGATATTTTAAAATCATTTTTATAAATATATCTAAATCATATAAGACATTTTATAAGTTATTAAAAAGTAAAATGTAAATGCCATAGATAAATAAATAAACATAGATAGTTTATGTACTCAAAGTCTCCAAGAATTGTACAGTCCGCGAACTCACACTTCTAGGGGTCAAAGTGTACTTCAATGATAAGCGGGGTGGTTTGGTGTTTTAATGGATTTCAAAATTATTAAACCACTCAGGAGTGAATTTTATATTGAGAATATCAAATTATTTCACTGAGCAATATATCATATTGACGAGAAATGAAGAAGGACATGAGAAGGACTAAACTAACTTAAATTTCTCTCTACAGAACTCATGTACACCACAACTACTCAATAACATAAGAACAGCCAATGTTCACAACCGACCTAGTTAATCTATATAATAGGAATATCTTTAAGACATCTCTGTAAATTTATATCTTTCAAGATGAAAAATGTCGTCTTATGCGCAATCTATCTTTATCTATGGTAAATGCCCTACTCTTAAAAGTTCATGCCCAGACTGTATCAGTCCAAACAAGATTTTTTTGTTATTGTAAATTATTAGAAAATAAAATGTAAATGCCCTATACTCTTAAAAGTTCATGCCCAAACTGCATATTAGTCCAGACAAAACCAATACACCATCCCATTCAACCAGTACATATCCCACCTGACTCTAAATGTAACACAGTAAAGCAGCAGTAGCTGCAGTAAAATACAAAAATATTTATCAATTGGAAAATGTGTGTTATGTTTTATTCATCAACAGATTTTTATGAAACTTTAGAACAGAAGAAAAACCTATTTTTTAATCGATTTGTTAAAATGTTAAAAAGAAAAGAAAAAATGTTATAAATTTTATTTCGCGTTGTTTGTGTAAAAAAAGATTTAGCATTTGTCTTACTTTATTTGATATTTTTTAACCCCAAACATGAACCCTGAATTCTGAAAAAAATTCCATTGTGGTTTGTAAACTAAAACTAATGCCGCTTTTTTACTCACTTGTAGGAAACATAAAAAATACACAAAAAGAACTAAAAATTCGCCACAAATTAAAACTTTCTAATCTCTACATCTTCGGAAAAGTGGGTTGCCTTGCCGAATTATAATTAATTTTATGAAGTGTCGGAGTGTCCCAAAACATGTTTATTTTTTAAGCTCGTCAAATACACGATGATAATTTCAATATAAGTGATCCTCCAAGAGGGCCATGCTCGATTGCCAATGGTAACGTGTCGTGTATACCTTTATCTGATTGTTGAAAATACCAGCGTTTTCATATCTTCTAAATGTCATGCTGGACATGCATGGCTTTCCATAAATGGAAGGTCGCTTGAAATCACGTCTCTATAGTCCATTTGAGACACACCCTTGAGTTGAAAGTCTAATACTAAAAACTTTCATTCACCAATTATAAAAACCGAACTGTAATATTATAACATCTTTATATTGCAATTTTTCTACACATTTTCTATAAAAAGGTTAACAATATACAGCTTGCAACTATAAAGCAACATCTCCCCTATTTTAAACATCTGACCTACTAACTTTCCGACCTACTGCAATATCGGACCTAAACGCCAACTGTAATTATTTTTGTATCATATGAGAGTTAGGCTATAGGTTAAGACAATTTCTGGGCTGAGCGCTGCGGCTAGGACAGGCTAAGGGACCGGGCGCTGCGGCCACAAGTCCATCTAGAAGCTGTAAAACCACGTGCTAGTAGGTCGAATGTGCAGTATTGCGGATTTGCGTAGGACCATCATACGCTCCCTCTCGTCAACCCTCAATTCCTCCAATAGGTTGTTAATGTTCAAGGTAGTTTTAAAATGTCGTCGTCTTTTGAGAATTTGTAAGAACATTTTTCAAATCAGGTATTAATAACGTTTTAGTTACATATTTATCTTGAAATTGGAAACGGTCTAAAAATTCATATTGATAACTGCTATCAGAAAGATTAAACTTTTAATTTCTACCATGAGGTAAATCTAACCCTGAAAAAGGGAAAGGAAAGAATGCCGCAAGATTTTCTGAATTTGAGCGCTGTGACGTCACATTGTTCTGCCGCCATTGGGTAGGTCTCCTGTGTAACCTTTGGCGTGTAAAATCCATTTTCATCTATGTTTGCCTTCACAATTTTAATGCTCTGACATAAACTGTGATATCTGATAATTCTAAGATTCAAGGTTGACTACAAAAATGGCTACTCCAGGTGATACATTGCTCATAAATACATTTCAATATATACTCTTCGGAAAAAGTAAAACAAATTTTAAATTATCAAATTTTCTAGGCAATAGTGACATTCAGTGGTGTTTCTCTCAAGTTAAAGGAACTCTTGACGATGATGTAACAGAAGGTGAATATTGACGTAAAATTTTATTCAAAAATATGGATCGTATTTCTCTTATCTGTTATCAAAGCATATTACATTTAGCGCAACTAGTGGGTGAACGCAGTTTCCGAACCCCCCCCCCCCCCCCCCCACACACAATACTCGAACATAACATTGACGTGATCCATCTGCTTTCAGAAACTCTGTATTAGGTCAATCTAACTGTAATAATTATTTTGGTTAATACATTGCTTGCGAAGTGCTTGTTAATTATGCATGTAATGTAATATAAATTTTTGACTTAGTTTGCCAGAAATCGCAATCACAAATGGAAATGATCTGGATTTTCCTAATTTTTTATTCAGCAGGGTGATCTTTTCCACCTTTTGAAGAATAAAAGATTATACTCAATATAATGAACAGTTTTGGCGGTGGGCACGAGTTTGCTGATAAGATTTTAATCAGGGGGAGGGGGTACTTATAAACACATATCCTTGCAAATCACATGAAACTGTCTGATAATTTTATTAATTCACGGGCCTGATAATTTTATTGTTTTAGCGGATATTATATCTTGTGTCGAGTTTAATCAAGACGGAGAACTTCTTGCTACAGGGGATAAGGGCGGTAGAGTTGTTATTTTTCAGGTAAACTACTCAGTAGTATATATTGGTACATTGCAGTGCTGGGAATTCTTCTAACTTGGGTCCTAGAGAACGATTTTTGGACCCCCTCCTATCAATTTTGTACATAACCACTTTTTCAACAATTTTCAATTAATAAATAATTTATTTAGGGTTAGGTTACATCAAAAGGTGGGGGGGGGATCCAAAAATCGTTCTTCAGGAAATTACCTTTAACTTTTGGAGTGGGTTATTCTCCTAATCTTAAACATTGATAATAACAGAACTTTGTATTTTATGATTTGGTATGTTCATTGTTTTTATAAAAAGTTCAGAAGTGTTTGTTGTTATTAATAATAATAAGAAGTAATTCCATTCTTTGGTCGGGCTGGGACTTAAATTTTATATTTATAGTAAGATTAGCTCTAGATAATAATCCTATCCGGCTCTGTAAAATGTAACAATCTTAAATTTTCTCTCTATGGATCTATTGTTTATTAAAGCTTATTGTAATATGTAAAACATCCTGCATGTTTTACAAAGTTTGTTTAAAAAATTATATAAATAAAACGAATTTTGCGCTATTTCTACATTTGAATGATGAGAATGCAATTTTAAATAATTTTATCTCTTCATCCTTACTTTTTTATCTTCAACCCATGTTAACTATTAGTAGATGCCATTGAGGAAAGCTTTTACAGACCCAGCCATCAAAGTGTAGTAAAAGAGGGGGGTGACTCTTAACAACAAGTTGTGTTTGACTAAAATACATGATTTGAATTGGGATTTAACCGTTTAAAGATACTGATTTATTATCGTCTTTTTAGAGGGATGCCGCGAGCAAGGCGAGTATACCGCGCCGAGGAGAGTACAATGTGTACAGCACCTTCCAGTCCCATGAGCCAGAGTTTGATTATCTCAAGTCCCTGGAGATTGAAGAGAAAATAAACAAGATCCGGTGGCTGAAGCGTAAAAATCCAGCACACTTTTTACTTTCCACAAATGGTAAATACTGAACATTTTTTTTACCCTTAAAACTTTTTATTCAATTCAAATATGTTGCAATGTTCTACAGGGGTAATACTATAGCACATCGTTGTGAGCCCTGCTGAATTGGCTATAGGGCCCTGAAGCGTTCATGAGTCACTTATTATATCTAAGGGTTATTTATAAAAAAAATGATAATATCTTACAAAAAGTGAAATCTGAATGCGAAACTAATGGGACTTTTTTATACTTTCAATTCAGTTCTTAATAGCAATGCTAATAAAAGATTAAATTAAATTGTACCTTCTGTGACAAATAATATGAAAAAATATGTTTTTAAAATGAAGTTTTGAATTAATAATGTTTCTAGATAAAACAATTAAATTGTGGAAAGTGAGTGAGAGGGATAGAAGAGCCGAGGGATACAATCTCAAAGAGGAAAATGGAACTATCAGAGATCCTTCGTCCATCAAATCTCTAAGGTATTATTTTTTTCGTTTTTTTTTAATATTTGTGTTCTAAGCAGGATTTGATTGAACGGGGTGTTGCGAATCGGCAATTTATTTAAACGGAGCTTAAAACATTTTAAGAAGGTATCTATAGGGTCAAAGGAAGTGCTTAGGATCCAAATCCGTTGGATTCGAAACATTTTGGCTTCCTGGATCCTGATCCGCAGAAATATGCAGATCCGCGCGGATACAGGGGGCAAAATATCAACTAAAAACTGCAAACAAAATCTTTAGTTTTCAATCCCAAATCTGCAATGTTGAAAAATAAAGAGATTATCAAAAGCGTCCTTTTTTCCGAATGGATTAAGTTTTTGCATAAAAATAACGAAAAAACGGAAAAATAATTGGAAAATGTTTCTTTAGTTGAAAACTAAATAAAACTTTAAGAAATGTTCATAACTTGTATCCGGATCCCCATCAAAATTAAACTGATCCTAAGGAGAGAAACCTGTCTGATGGTTTTGTTCTGTTAATTTATTTTAACCGAAGCATTGCTTGGGACCTATTTTATTGGATACATTGATTTGGGTGAATAAGTTTTGAAGATCTGAAAGGAAAACTGAGTAATTGTGCAGTAAAAGTAAAGTTTTTCATCCTTTTCCTTTTTTTTTATCCAAAAGGGGAGGGTACTGTTTTCCCATTTGAATGCATTTTGGACTCCTGTCTTCATTTTTTGAGGAATCTGAATGAAATTTTGCATATGGGCATAATTTGTGTTTGTTTTAAGTAAAATAAAAAAATATGGAAAAAAATATTTTTCCCTCTTTTTCCACATTTTTCCATGTTTTTAAAGCTTTTTCACCAAAAAGTCTGAGTTAAATACCAGATAGGTGCTTTAAACACCTGCTTGTTAGTCAATAATCTCATTACTAACATCAGAACGAAGTTTAAGGTTTTTCAGATCCCTTTTCCCCATATTTTATCATATTTTTTGTATTTTACTTAGAACAAACACAAATTATGCCCATATGCAAAATTTCATTCAGATTCCTCAAAAAATGAAGACAGGAGTCCAAAATGTATTCAAATGGGAAAACAGTACCCTCCCCTTTGATTTATATTCCACAATTAAGCCAATTTTACCCTTAAAAATTACCTTTCTTCTGGGGATATAAATGATTTTCTAAACAGGGGAATGATTTTTCATGAAAATAAACACCACCGCACAGTGGTTCTAGAAGCTGATTTCGCAGATGTTTTGCATGTCAGACTATAACTTTTTTGCTTTTTAAGTTTCAAATCTGCAAAGTTGCAAAAATAAAATTTGTATCATTAGTTTTGCATTTTCGAGAGAAAAAAAATTTTAAATCATAAATTTTGGGGTAATATTTATATTATTGAAAGCCTACTTCTTCTCTTAATTTCGTGATTTTGTATCGGAATAAAACCTTTTTGTTTTTTAGTTTCAAATCTGCAAATTTGCAAAAATAAAATTTGTATAGAAAATTTTTAATTTTAGAATTCTTTTAAAGTCGTCATATTTATAGGGAATATTTTTGCCATCAAAATCCTAATTTTTATCGCAATTTCGTAATATAGATGATTTTTTCCGTAAATACCATTTTAAAGGAAATGTTATCTAGTTTTAGAATCTTATTTTCTTTTGTATTGTCCTAGTTGCCGATTCAAAATAATTAGATTTATCGGGAAAAAGAGGAAATATTTGTTGCAAAATTACATGAATATTTTTCAATTCTTCTTTAGAGCCCATTTTCTTCAACATTCTTTTTTTTACCTTACTTTATATTCCAATAAAGCTACATCTATACTTGACAAATATTTTGGATTTTTTATGAATGCTTTATAAATATTGATTATGGCACCTGTAAAGGAAAAATGCATTTTTTTCCTAGACAATTCGGAGAAAATTGAAATAGCCAATTTCGTTGAACTTTTAACACTCGGAACTTTTTTATCTGACAAGCTTTCTTTTTCTGTATATTTTTTTCCTGTATCGGCTTGGTAACAAAGGTGTAATTTTAAAATATGTAAAATTCAGGACAATTTATTTTTTCAATTGGTCCGGCCGCGGAACCACTGTGCACCGTCGAATTCTGAACAAAAGTAAATCTCAAAATATGTTGATTGTGATGATTTTTCAGAGTCCCCGTACTGAAGCCTATGGACCTGATGGTTGAAGCCTCACCTCGCAGAATATTTGCTAACGCCCACACCTACCATATAAACTCTATTTCTGTCAATTCGGATCAGGTAAAATATATTATTATTATTGTATAAATCTCTGATTGTGACGGGATATTTATTGAACACCAGGGTTGTCCACCTGACAGCGATATACCTAAACTCACTTGCAACTGTTTTTAATAAATGACAGTAGGAGATTTTGGCCTTACCTACAATACAGTATTCAAATATGTAGTACCCGGCCTTTACATTACTTAAGGATTAGCCTACTTAGTTTATTGTATAGTGTATACACTAAAACCTCGTTTTTTAATACTAAGGCCTCCCCTTCCATTTGAGTTTGTCTTTAAGTAACATTTTCATGGTTCTAAAACTTACAAGGGGGTGATGCGTTATTATCGGATATGCAAACAGAGATTACTTATTCACATTTTAAGTCCTCAATTTGGGGACATTCTCCGTGGTACATTTTAGATTAAATCTATGTATGTTTTTACTCTTTTCATAATTAGGTCTTCAATTCCTAATTTTATTAACAAGATCGAAACAGATCGCTGAACGTGCAAATGTTTTCCCAATCCTAGGTCAATTAAATACAAATTTTGTTAAGTTTGTTCGGTCATCGTCTACCATTTTAAAGAATTTCGAATGTAAAATGGATTATTTTTAACTAATGCAGTTGTCATGAATAATGTATTTAGATTGTAAAAAGAAGAAAAACTTAGTAATGAAGAATTTAATAAAGACAAAAAATTTCTAATGCAAGATTTAAATGTATCCAACTTCACTGAAAATTTACTATGCAGAAGTTTTGAAAGATCCTAACATTTGTGAATTTTAAGATTTCATTTTATTTTAGGAAACTTATCTATCCGCGGATGATCTTCGGATCAATCTCTGGCATATGGAGATCACAGATCAATCCTTTAACATAGTAGATATCAAACCTGCAAACATGGAGGAATTGACTGAGGTAAAAATCTTATTGGGTTTGAAGAATGATTTGGTCCAAAATTGAGAATCGAGAGACAAAAACACGTGTCTAAAAACACCGCCTGAAAACAGAATTTTTCATTTATTTTTTATTTCTTTCTAAATCAGAGTATAGAAAAATTTTAACCATATATGAAGATGTCCATAAATTCTAAATTTATCTATTTGTTAATGTCCGGTTAAATCTAGGTGATCACTGCCTCCGAATTCCATCCAAAGATTAATGAAAGTTAAAACATTTCTGGAACATAAAAATAGATAATACTATAGTAATTTTTTTCTAGGTTTCCATAAACACTCAAATTCTTATTTTGATTTCCCTGGAATAGTTCTAATGCTTGAAAACTTTATGATATCAATTCGGATCAATCGATTTTTTTTTTTTTTTAAGAACATTTTTTTAAGTCCAATTTTTCTAGATTTATGCACAAATGAAAATAGCTGATTATTATTTAGGAACTATTCGACTGTGTGATATGAGACAGGCGGCGCTCTGTGATAGTCACGCCAAAATGTTTGAAGAACCAGAAGACCCGACCAATCGGTAAGATCAGGGGTAATTAAATGGGCGTAATTTCACTTGACCTCCAAATATAAAGTGTCATGGCCAATTAGCAACGGTACTCTCAAAAACATTTTCTCAACAAGGATAAAATATATATATACTTATTTTTCTAGCATAAGCATAAGCGACATGCGGATTTATGCTACGGTAATTGTGGGAATTCTACACTTTTTAAAGTAGAAAAACGACGTAATTTTTCTCAAAGTTTTTTCATGAGGTTACGTTATGAATTGGGCATGCCCCACTCTTAAAAGGATGTTCGTTTAAAAAGGATTAGCGATATTTACATGGTAAAATTAACATTTTTTTTTAAAAGGTTACTCGATCATTATGTATTCAAAAGTTATTTTGTTGAAAATTCTATTAAAACCGGTCCATCATAAAAATCCAATGAAATTTTTAACTCCTGGTCTTATTTAAACCCTTTTGTTGTGGGGATTGAAAAGAAAGGAAATGAATTTTCTGAATTATTGACGTACAGACAGGTTCAGCAAAATAACTAAGGTATTGAGTTCTTTTCAATTGATTTAAGGCTTTCTAACACAAGCTTCTAATATTTACTATTGTACCCTTTACAGTATCTAGATGATTCTATTTTCAGATCTTTTTTCTCTGAAATTATCTCCTCGATTTCTGATGTCAAGTTCTCCAACTCTGGTAGATACATGATCTCCAGGTACTGCAGATAGCTAGCATGTACATTTCCTTAAAGATTACTGATTTCCTGGAAGAGATAAAAAATTCAAACTTTTTTCTTCTCTTTTTTTCGCTGAGTTTTATGGTGAAACATTCAAAGATTATGAAGTTTCAATGATCGCTCATTATTAAATAGTCAAGATTTGTGTAAAAGAGCAAAAGGAAAATTTTAACGGGGTTTTGATACTATTGTACCCCTTGGATCCTAATTATAAGCACTTCGCCACTCACTTTTACGTCCATGTTTTAAACTACTCAATAGTCAGGGGAGCTTTTAATGAAGAAAATGTTAAGCCAATTTTAATACTGTAACGAGTGGGGGACCCAGGTCATCTGACTGGCATTTCAGTGGTCCTTTTCATTTACGTATGTTAGGCTACTTATTCCCCCCCTCCCACTCCCCTTCTATGGATTTGTATAGAGACAAATTTCTGAAAGCCTTTCTTTGGATGTTGAAAAATAGTTTTACTATTCTGTAAAATAAACATCCCTGTAATAGTGTAATATGTACAAAGTACTCCGAAAGAATGTTTAATGTTTCTGTCTTAGGGGAATATTCTTGGCATTTTTCATAAAAACCATGTTCTCAAACAAACTTTTAGAAACATTAAAATATCTTTTAAAGGTTTGTTACTCTTAATTTCAGTGAACGAGGGCATAAGAGTGTCAGGAAAAATTTTCAAGTGCAATTAATGAAGTTAACATTGATTTACTGTCAAAAAAGTCCCATTTTTTCATAAAAAACGCGCGCGCGCGCGCACTTTTGCTCATATTCCTTCAAAACCAAAAAATGCACGTAATATACATAATTCTGAGTTTGCATGCAAAAAATCAGCCTCCTACGACAATTCTAAGTTATGTTTAAACACTGTTTAAATTTTCCGGAGAGTAATACGTTTTGTGGCCCCCCCCCTTTTATAAGTAGATAATACATGATTTCTAGGCACTTTAGGGAGATAGCTAGGAAATAAACTACAGGGGTTACTATCTATTTGATCGTGTCATCTTGAAATGCCATGCATTTAGTAAGTGCATAGGATCCATTTCATTCTGACGTGGACCCCGGCCACTTGTAGAATAGAGCAACCGTCCATGACAACTATTTCTTTCATCAATATGACCCAACTTTGATTATTAAAATCCCGGGAAGTTGCTCTTGTTCAGGAGGGGCGTGGGGTCTTTAAGAACTTGAAGTAGTCTACGCCTTAATGTTATTGGGTTTTTTAAGTTTGTGATTTTTTTTCAAAATGTATTAAGTATCTTGGTAAATTGACATAGTTTGAAATCCTTAATTTATGAACACATTATTGGTGGAATGACTGTCGTTCTGTTATTTTATATTTTTATTATGAAATGTCACAAAGATTTTGCAATTTGTAAAAATGTGTTTTATCAATTACAAAATATTAACAAATAAGAACATTTTCTAAAAGAAATCAGCATAACAATAGAAATGTATGCGATGTATTTATATTTTTACAAGACTTGTCCTAGATCCAAGATCTGCATCAAAATAATATGGCAAGCACTAAGTTTCAATTGACAACGATAGTACATCTGAAAATGTTTAAGTATTTGAATTCAAGAAGTATACTTATTTAACCATGTGAAGGTGCACGAGTACCTAAGGTCGAAGCTGTGTTCACTCTACGAGAACGACTGCATCTTCGATAAATTCGAATGTAAGTTCAAGAGAAAATTATTGAGATTGAACTACAAGTTAAAACAGGATTTTAACACTAGGCCGCCATTTTTGGAATAATTACGCTGGCACGGTTCTAATTAAGTAAGAAATACAACGTCACCAACGCTTTATCTGGTTGAACATTGTACATCTTTACATACAAGAAATGTCACTTGAACATCATTAAGACACCAACATTTTAAAGTGAGAAAATAATTTATAAAGGTGTTTGAATATTCCAGAGAATTTTAACCCTAATTCTATTCATATTGTCATTAGCTATATTTTAAGGCTGCTGGAACGGAACAGACTCAGCAATTATGACCGGCAGCTACAACAATTTCTTCAGGTAGGATTTATTTGATTTAAGGTCAGGGCCTGGAATCTTTTAGCTCCGTTGATTCGTAATTTAAATATACAGAGCATGTAACTTTGATCAAATATTATAATCTGTTGGGTGACCAAGAATTGCGGATATCGAGATCAATGCTGATCTCCTATTTTTGTTATTAGTAAGATTATTTGAAACTTTAGTTTCTTTCCAGGAAAGTGTTGTCTTATAAGTTATAAGAAAGCTCTTCACTTCTATATATATTATATATATAAACTTAGCACAAAAGTTGGGCTCAACCGTTTCAGACGTTTTGGTGTTAATTAGATACAAACAGACAGAGAAGCAAAGCATATAGAATAGATAGATATATAGTTAGATATGCTATCTAAACGGCCGTGCCAATTTAGCTGACATTTTTTAACCCATGGCTACCCTGGGGGTAACATAGGCAAAACAAATCTGAAATAAATTTTTTTCTTCAATATTTAAAATTTCACACCCGGCACTTCCAGCTAGTTACATAAGTAAGCAAGCTCTTGATTCTTATTTTTATATATTTATATGTTCGCTATATCTCACCAAATAGCTTATCCGAATTGGCTTAATTTTTTTGAGAGAACCCATGGGAGAGACAGACTAAATAAATCCACAGGCAATGCCGAACATTTCAGATGAAAATCTGATTTAATACCAAGCAAGGGTTAACGGCGGGAGAAACTATGACTATGAATATTGACGTTAACGGGCACCCCAGCTAGTTAATTAAATAATAAATATCTTATTAGCAATATTCGTATTATTTCTAGAATGTTTGACCGGAGTTCACGGAAGGAGGTGACACTAGAAGCCTCCAGAGATGTTGCCAAGCCAAAGACAATGCTCAAACCGAGAAAGGTATTTCACATGCCCCAAAACTGCTGTAAGATTCAAAATAAGGGTATATATATACATTCTTGAAAATATAATCCCTCTCTCTTTCCAAAAGCGGTATAATTTTAAATGTGTTAGTTATGCTAGAGGTTTTTAATGCAGGATTCATCATTTCCCCCGATAGAGATTTTTTTAAGTATTTACCAATGTACAAAACTGTCGTGATCATGCAGGGTTGTTTTAGGAACATAAAAATTTATTAAATTATCCAGAAATCCCCCAAAAGCAATATTCAAAATAAAAAAAATCTTCATCTAGGTCTGCTCTGGCGGTAAGAGGAAGAAGGATGAGATCAGCGTCGACTGCTTAGACTTCAACAAGAAGATACTCCACACTGCCTGGCATCCTCAGGTATAGGATTATCCGAATTCCATAAGACATTGAGGTTCAGTAAAACCAAAACCTCTTCACAAGTTCATTGTAAAATATTGAACTTACAATCGTTATCATAACTTGTACATACATACATTAGATACGCCGTGTTTATCAAAAAAAGCTTGAAGTTCCGTACTGAGTGCCCTAACTCTTATCGCGGATTCGTAATGAAGAACGTTTATAGATAATAAAAGCCAAGGAAAGTTATTTGCGGTCACGTATGATCTGCGTACAGATTGAAACAAGTTCTCTCAGGGCGGACTTAGTGAACAAGAATGAATGCATCAGTGTTCGTTCAGTATCCGAGGAGGTTAAAAGCATTTAATTTTGAAAATTCACATTGTTTCCGATGACCAGAATATTTCATAGCTTAATTTTGTGAAAATGTATTGAATATCAGGCTGTGACATCCGTCTTGTGCTTACTTTTCCACCCAAAGACAGGAAACTGCAGTACAAAAAATGCGTACACCTCTGAAATAACTTTCCTTGCACTAGTACCTTGATAAAAGCTAAGAAATGGAAGAGATTTGTCAAGTTCTTCATGAACTCGTTTATCACAAATGAATTATTTTGGTTGAGAGGTAGTAAATGATTGCGTGAAAAATCCTGTTGATTTATGCGTGACTTACGATTAGAAAATCAATCTTGGAAATAATACATTTTTTAAGTGAATATATAAATATTTTCAGGAAAATATTATAGCTGTTGCTGCCACAAACAACCTGTTCTTATTCCAAGAGAAAAACTAAACTCAAATCTGTTCTATATATTCAGGTACATAATACAAAAAGTGATCTCTCTTCTGCCATGGGTATTAATCTTGACAATCATACAGTGAAACCCTTAATAACGAATACATCGAAAGAATTCATCAAATGTCGTATTCTTTACTTTCTAATAATGGAATGTTGCAGATATTTAGTTTTTTAATTAAATGATTATATGGAACTCTTTAAAACTGTTCCCGCATATTCATGGCTATTTATTTATTTTCGCAAATACTGAAATTTACGTAATAAAGTATAAACTCATTGAAAATTGTGAAGACGACATTTGATAAATTCTTCCGATGTATTCGTTATTAAGGGTTTCACTGTATCAAAGTTATTATTATAATTCAATTGAAAAAATGTTTTTTTTTTCTTCTGGCAAAACCACCTAAATTATCGTTACTAAAAAAGTAAACGAGAGAAACGTTTGCATGACTAGATTTATTTAGTTAAAACCATATCAGAATTATAAGGTCGTCAGTCCTACTTATAATTTTTCCAAATCCAAAAATTCCGGCATCATATGTATTTTCAAATGGGTGATTTTTCAGAATTTTTATTTTTCATTTTCAGATTAGATGTTGGCCTGAGAACCTGATACAACAGCAGCAATCTAGTGATACTCAAACCTTTTCATATTACTGAGAAGTAAAACATTGGATTGTGTGGACACCATAGGCCAAGTCTCAAACCAGATATTAGTACAAGTTATCCCGGTAGAAGTCAACTGTGGTATTTAAACCAAGATTTACGATATACAAGGTTCTGCAATACACATTCTAGTTTCACGGGAATATTTTCAATTTTCAACATTTATTCAAGTTCCTTTAACAAAGAAGTCTGTCCACAAAATAATGCGGGCACATTTTTTCTTAATTCTCCTAATCCTACCTTGATCTGAATTGCCAAAAAGATCCTGTAACATCCGATTCATTTTGTTGCTTTTTTTTAAATATATGGAATCACAAGAAATACTTCTGAAAGGCACCCTCCTTCACAATATTATCTTGCACTGTCAACTCCTACAATAATAATTAATAATTAATTATAATTATTAACCTTGAAATTTGTTGTCCCTGTGAATGGGTTTAAGACGCTTCTTTTCACTGATAATTTATTTACCTGAAGAAACTTTTACCTAGCAACCACAAGACAGGCACTAATTTCATCAGTGCAGCGTCATCTGGCATTCCGTAGATAACTTGGAATCTAAATATTGCCTCCTGAAGATCGTATATAGAATTATCATTGTAGTTTTTATACTCTTTTTATTTCAATTCAAAGGAACTGGTGATCACAGATCTTTTTAATCAATTTCATGCGCGAAGAAATGCTTCCAAAAAAGTGCTCGTTATTTTGTTCTGGGACTCCCTGAGTTTACAGAGGTGTTATGATCATGCCCCTGTGCGATCCATCCAGATAAATTCATTTATTAGTAGATCAAATATTCGAGAATTACATGATTTTCAGCCCAGACAGTATTCATTTTTTTTATTTCTGTCTGATATTAAGAGTTTTTATGTGATTTTGTCTTCGTTAAAGATATACGNGGGTAACAAGTTGATAATGTTCACTGTTAACTGTGTGCACTTACTAAAACTGTGTTTATATGTAAATGGTGAAAAAAATATTAGGGGTTTCATTTACCATCCTTTAGTATTCAACATTTCCATCATACGTTGTCTGATGTGATCATTTAAATTATGTTTATATGCATTTCAGTTATTGCAGCTCAGAAAATGTTTTCTGAAACTTTTTTTTATCTTGAACTTTCAATTATATAAGAACAAAAACGCCCTTATTCTCAGATATTTTTATAGATATCTTCAGATTTTATTTAATTTTTTATAAAATATTAGAAAATTAAACATGCCAGAAATGAATGATTTGTTGTTTCTCTAAGCTTGTTAAGCCGTTAAATAATTAAATGTTTTAAACCAGATGCTATAAATCTTTCTTCTTCATAAACCTGTGCTCTGTAATTTTATTTGTCTGAACGAAAACTGGATTTGTTGCATGTTAACTGGGTTGTTTACATTCAAGTAACTTTATATCTGTCATGATATTGTTACCTTTAAAATCTTACTAAAACATTAAGTACATATGTTACCAAAATCTAGGGTTCAGCTAATATCATGATCTACATAAAGTATACACACTTATTCAAATTATCAAGTAATAAAGAACCTGAAGCTTTATGGAGCCAGATTCCAATTGAAAACTTCTTACTACTAATCTGTATTTATTTAAATGTATTTTCGAGAACAAGTTTTAAAATGAAATCTGTCTTTTTTATGTTTGAGTTAGAAGCAGTTAATTAATCTAAATGTGAAACCACTTGGCTCACAAATTTATATATATATTCGCCAGGCTGGCTAAACGGGGTGGACCGAATCGGCTGTTTTTTTTGTTATCCCATCGGTAATGGGGGTTGATCAGGCTTAACAAAATAAATTATGCGCCACATTTACTTCCTGTGATGTAAGGACGTCATTTTCATAAATTCATAATTTAATTTCTAGTTGGGTAACTTGACTAATAATAAAAACCTTGTCAACGCTGGGTACTAAAGCTAGTCATTTACTTTGAACAAAAACACAAATGTAGACAGGAGAAAGATGAAAATATGTAATGCAATGTAGGGGCTTAACAGCGATCATAAAGAGTTTGTTGCAACTTGCAAGAAACACTAGATTGTGAGAAATAAAGAGACGACAAACATCTATGCGAATCTCTGAAATAATTTGTTGGCATTGTTTTTTACGATTAAATGTCGCAAATTAATTGTAAAACTACATTCAAATCGTCTTACAACTGTCATGTTTCAATCGTGGTACACCCTGTAATCTACCATGAATTTTATCATCTTTATCATGGCTATATACTTGCAGCGGCACTAGGCCTTGACTTACATGGTGGCAGGAACAATGTAAATAATGTTTAATATCATGCATAAATTATTGATTTTTTCTCTCAAAATGCAAGAAAAGATTTTTAACCCTTTCCTTTCATGCAAGAAATGAACTTCAACCCCAACCTTTATCTTTTTTACATACAATTAAACAATTTTAAAATAAATACTCACTAAAGCTCTCACTATTTTAAATTCAATACTATTTTAAATTCAATGAAAATCACCTTAAACAATAAACATATAATAATGGAAAACAGATTTCTTGCCTATTTTCCCCCATTTATTCTTTTACTTTTTGCCCTCTTTTTTCATTTTATTCTTTTTTTATATCTCAAATATTGTTCCTTGCCCGTCCCAATAATTATGTGAATCGTAACAATAATCTTATAATCCTTTCTTGGAATTTAGTTTTAAATCAAGATTCACCTATTTATATCTCTCCATCATCGTTTTTCTTAACCTCTCATTCCCACGAGGTTATTCTTCTAACACAGATATATACAGGGTTATCCACAAGGGACGGGACTCCGAAGAAGACGTGAATGTAGTTAGGATTTTTTAGGATTTTTAAATACTGCGATAAATATAGTTTTTGCTTCGTTATTTTGCTTATATTTTCGCTCGAGGTCAAAACTTGGCATTTTTTCACTTCACTACGTTCAGGAGGAGCAGGGTTAGACTTTTTGGCGTAAAACGTGACTTTAAATTGGTAGCTTTTGCTCCCCAAAAATTCGTTTACCCTAATCAAACGTCAAAATAAAATAAGAACGCCAAAGAAAAGCATGCGGGAATGATGGTAAAAGGAGTAAAGTAAAATATTTTATTTTATGTTTCATCATGCTTCAAAAAAGCTAAAACATAATTAACCCTATCTCTGCTGGGGTACTTGAAAACCAGGATGTGCTGGGGGGGGGGGGGAAATGACCCCCCCCCCCCCCCTCTAAATCCCATGTTTAATGTCCAAATATGACAAATGATACATCATTGGAAAGCTCTTGTGCTCTACTTTTAGAATCTACAAATTTGCAAATTTGCAAAATCCAGTTATATAGTAAAAATGTTTGCAAAAAAAAAATTTGTCCAAAAAATGAAAAATTATACATTTTTGAAAAGCCCTCGACCATGCCATTTCAAATATGCAAAAAATTTTGCAAAATTTTAAATAACCTGATTTTTAACCAAGAAAAACTAAAAATGTGCAAATTTCCTCTGACAGATTGTTTGCAAAAAATTTGCAATCTTTTTACAAAACTTATGCTATTCGTTTCCCTATGTCAAAGGCTTTCCAAAAAGCTAAATTTTATCAAAATCTGACAAGTGGAAGTGGGTCAAAACAAAGATTTAGTTTGTTACAGGAAAAAACAGGACTCAGGCAGTTAGTATTAAAGCCCGGTTTTAGGCCTAAAGGGAGGGCTTTGGGTGTGTAGGAAAAGTCGGAAAATTTCAACAGCCTCAGAACAATACTTTTTGAGTTGTGTAAAAAAAACTACGGGGGGTCAAATTGACCCCCCCCCCCCCAGCAGGAATAGGGTTAAAGAATAAGTCAGAATACAGAAATCATGAAATTAAACTCACGATTGTATTATCTAAATCGTTCTGAGTCGTCATAAACGTCTCATTCTTTGTGGGTTACCTAGTTTCTGGATTCTGGGAATATAAGGAGTATTATGTGATGGTGTGATTGGTTGAGTTATATATAAATCTTGAAATAACAAAAAGAGAAGATCAAGCATTTTTCTCGATATCCACAATTCTAAAGTTTCCAGCTCTGAACGTTTTTGCTTATATACTTAGCTTGTATGTAAGTGTGTTTGTGTCCAATGAATGGCTAAACGTCTGAAATTTTGAAATTAAAATAGAAAATTCAGCAAAAATTTTAGAAATATTCAAAATGGCCACTTTCAGAGCAACTTAACAGTAGCAGGACCGAAACGCCCTGAAAGCATTGATACTTAAACTGGACTTTTGCATAAACGCTCCCTGCAACCTTTTGTTTTTCATACCAAGATTAAAAAATATATATACACCAAAGGTACGTATGCTAAGAACGGAGAACAACGTCCTGAAACTCAACGTATAAAACGTTATAGGAAATAACTTTGCAAGTATAAACAAAAATCTCATGATCTATTTTTAATTTACAAGATTTGGATTTATAAGAAAATAATTGTTCAAAATATGTGTATGCTTAACTTCCTAATAGAGAATTAATTCCACGAGTAATTACTAATTGCTATACTGCTATGTTTAATCAAAAATACTTATGCGTGGCATTTCACTTCTGACCAATGGAAAACCAGTCGGGTAATTCTTAAAGATTAAATAATTTGCATCATATTGCATTTTTCTGAGCAACTAAGATTTTCACTTTTTCTTGAAATAAAATATAGGCATAGGTCAGTTTATTTTTGTTTGTGAGCGAATAATGTTTTAAATTGTTCCTTATGATGCTGAACAGTTTCTCAAACTGCATTTTGTTAGGCATCTTGGAATGATTATATAAAAACACCAATGGGTACTGATTAATACAAGGAAAGATTAAGAACGTTCCTAGCTAGTGATGTTGATATACACAATACATCATCACAAATATATGCAAAAAAAATTACATCCAGTAAAAAATCGTCCTTTTTTCTTTTTGAAAAGATATAAATTCATTAAATTTCTTCCTTGTATTTGCTGAAAATTATTCTTACTTAGAACCTGCAATAAAAAATTTCAAACAGTAAAACAAGGACATCTTCAAAATCTAAACTTTCTGCTCCGACAAAGTGTAAAATTATCATTTTTTAAGCTTTTTACTTTATTTATTGTATTGGTAGGAGATGAATATTCAGAAAATCTAATCATTGCGGGTCACATTGGCAGCATTAAATGTATTTTTTTATTTTTACTTTTGGGAAATACCAAAAGAATGTTTCTTTTAAGTACGAGCAGTAATTTTTATTTTATTAATTATTTGAGCACCATAATCTGAATTTTTTTTTGTTTTTCTTGTTTCTTTATTTACTAAATTTGATCTTTGTACTTGTCTTAAATTTTCAAAGTATCCTAAATTTTAAAGTTTAATCCTTAATACTGGATAAGAGTTCTTTTTTTAAAGGGGGGATAGTTTTAAAATCTTGGCAACGTTTAAAAATTTTAAATTTATTCATTAAATCATAGTTCACTCGGTTTCTGTTGTTTCTAGATTCCTAGTTTCTCCAATAAGATGACATTATGACATGATGACATTACTTTCATTAATATTTTACCAAATATTGGAAATTTTAACAAGAATATTACTGGTACAGTATAGTAAACATTTAATTCTTCAAAGATAAGTTCATAAAAAACATTACTTAACATTTTCTAATATATATTTAACGTCCCTTGGGGCAAGTAGGAAAAATAACGAACAATTCTTAGAAGTTTTTGCAAAAAAATCGCTTTATTTTCATCTGAAAAGACGATAAAATTGAGTATGAAGCTACTTTTTTGGGGAAATCAAAAATTTTACTCACCCAAGGGTTCCTTCCCTCGGCCAATTTTGCAATATTTACAATATTTATATATTTAATTGAACAAAATAATAACATTTGCAGTTTTCGTAGTCTATTTATTTCGAATTTAGATTTTGCTAAAAGTTTCTAAGGATACAGTTTTGTAAGCAGTTTACAAACTTACAATTACAAAGTTTCTTACATATCAGTCCTGTCTCAAGTACCCCAGGATTAGGAAGAAAACCTTGGAATCATTTTTTAAAGGAAAAATTTTAATATTTAATTTATCCTCACGCGGAAAGGAATGGTCAAAATTATCAAAATATCTCATATTTCTCCCTATCCTTCTCATTATTTTTATCCTCATCCCCATCCTTCTCCTTATTATTCTTCTCATTTTTCTCCTCATCCTTCTCATAACTTTTCTTCTATTTTATCTTGACATCATTCTCCTCATCCGCATCCTAATCCTTCTCCTCATCCTTTTCCTTCTCTTCATCAGCAGCCTCATCCTAATCCTTCTCCTCATCCTTCTTCTCATCCATCTACTAATCATTCTTCTCATCCTTCTCCTCATCCTCATCCTAATCCTTCTCCTCATCCTTTTCCTTCTCTTCATCCGCAGCCTCATCCTAATCCTTCTCCTCATCCTCATCCTAATCCTTCTTCTCATCGAAAGTACGATTATTTTACAACAGGGTTGTCACGACACAGAGGAAAATCTCATGTAAGCTGCTTAGCACTTATCCTTCAGTGAAACAAATCAAAATTCCCTTTTTTTCTTTGATTTTTCTCTCTCTCTTTTATTTGTTTTTTTTTCTGAAAAAAATTGTTTTTTAATCTATCAGTTCAACTATCTACTGACTAAACGTATAAAAGTGAACAT